AGCCCTGGCTGCCGTTAGCCCTGGCTGCCGTTAGCCCTGGCTGCCGTTAGCCCTGGCTGCTGTTAGCCCTGGCTGCCGTTAGCCCTAGCTGCCGTTAGCCCTGGCTGCCGTTAGCCCTGGCTGTTAGCCCTGGCTGCCGTTAGCCCTGGCTGCCGTTAGCCCTGGCTGCTGTTAGCCCTGGCTGCCGTTAGCCCTGGCTGCCGTCAGCCCTAGCTGCCGTTAGCCCTGGCTGCTGTTAGCCCTGGCTGCCGTTAGCCCTGGCTGCCGTCAGCCCTAGCTGCCGTTAGCCCTGGCTGCTGTTAGCCCTGGCTGCTGTTAGCCCTGGCTGCCGTTAGCCCTGGCTGCCGTTAGCCTCGGAGCTCCGCTGGTTGCTGCAGTTCTCTCAACTTTGGAATTTTTTTTTTTAATTAAACATTAAATTGGTAAATAGACCATATAGTGACGCTTTAAAGTATAATATTCTCGCCTCAAATGATCTTAAAACATACTTTTATGGAAGAACAGCAACAGAAAAGAGAACTTTTAGCTTCCAATGGAGCGCTCCGTTTAAAGCTGCTGCCGCCGCCGTGCATCATGCTGCTGTTCAATAGTTGCTGCCATCTTCCTTGTTCTGTTTTCTGCAGCGTCGTGCAGCTTTGTCATCACACCCTCAAAACCCCGCCCACTTTGCATTTAGAAATTCAAAACACATAATAACTGCTCATGTGATCCACCTGCTCCTGCCTCTATTTAAGCTGCTTGCTCCCAGTCATCAGGGCTAGATTATTCTTGTTCTCTTGAGTGAGAGTGTTTAGAGTTCCTTGGCGTTTCTGATTTTCTGATCCTGACCTGTTCTGCCTCTCAGCCACTGAGCCTGGCTGTTCCTTTTCTGATCTGTTTACCTGACCTGCTCCAGCCTCCTGCTCGTTCTCTGGGTCTGCAGCATCCGGGTGGCATCTCGTTGGACGCCCACTGGCTGGATCCTACCTCGTTCTCTGGGTAGGTTAGTGACTCACATTCATAATCTTCCTCCGTTAGCTCTAACCTGTGTTCCCTCTCTCCTCTGATGCCCTAGCTGCTGCTACCACAGATCCGTTTGTTTCAAATAAACACTTTTTGAGTGTCTGTCTGAATACTGGGATCTATGTTCTGAATCATGAAAGAAAATCCCTTTATTGTCCCACAATGAAAAAACTGTGGGATTACAGCAGCATTACAGCAGAAGTGGTCACACAATGAGGACCTTAAAAAGTGTATAAAAGTAACAGAATAAGCAGTAGAGTTTAAAAATAAATAAAATACTGTAAAGTGTTTTAACAATATAAAACTCTAGAATAAATAACCAATATGCAGCTGTGGACATTTTTCCAGTGATGGATATTTGAAAATAGCAGCAACATCAGTGATGTGCAGAATGACAGCAGCAGGTTATTTAACTGACGAAGGTAGAAACTGAGCAGAATCAGCATGAATGGAAGAACTGGTTGAGGTTAATGGGAACAGTGGTGGTTCTAGAGTCTTCCAGCTGCTGGGAGGAAGGATCTGTGATAACGCTCCCTGGTGCATTTAAGGTGCAGCAGTCTGTCACTGA